AAGTTAAAAGTTACACATTTGTCATTGAGGAGGGGACTTAATTGGAATAAACTCATTATTTATTTATTTATTTATTTATTTATTTATTTGATTTTTCCCCCGCCCCTCTTATAAAAATATATAAAATCATAAAATTACATATTTCAATTTAAAACAATTAATTTAAAGAGAGGATTACCTCTCTTATTAGTTGTTAGATATTTTTGAGTTCCTCTACATTCCAATGTTGTAATATTCTAAAGTCTTTCCCTGCGCCTCCTTTGAACTATATGAAATGTAGGGGACATTTAATGTGTGAAGTATGTATGGGCTTTTCTGGAAAAAGCCCATGTTTGTTCTCTATCAATCCAGTTCTTGGAAAGGATTAAAAGACTTGATTCCAAAAGACTTCACCAATTTTACTAGCTTTACATAGGCAATAACAGACTTGGTTCAGAAGAAAAGCATCCAGCTTTCAGTTCCAGGAAATGTTAATCTGAAACAGGGAACGTAGAAAATAGATTCATCGTCATGAAAAACTTTTACCTCTGGACATTCCAAAAACTTTTAAAAAATCATCCAAAGGGAACTTGCATGTGTTACGAATCATTGTGCCAGTTCTACCTTTTGAAGGGCTCCACATGCTGCATTTAATATCTCATCAGGGAATGAGCAATGAAAAGGCTGGATTTGTGTCTCGTCTACCCTCTTTGTTTTAGAAAAACCTTATAACAGCCTAACACTATGCATTAGAGCTGAAAAGTAAGTTCAAGAATTTTCAATGGATTGTGCAACCAGACAAAGCTTGGAAAGTTACTTTTAAGACAAGTTTCGATAGGGGGTGACTTACACGAGCACTGTTTCATCTGCAATGAGGACAGGCTGGTTCACTCCTTTTGCGGGTGACCAGATGGCGTAAGTGCCAGTGCAAACCAGAGCATTTCTACTTGCATCTTTCTGCCTCCCTGTCAGGGGCAACTCATTTTTAGATGTGGATAGGATCATTCTGTTTTGGTTTATGTCCAGCATATACAATTGCTGGGATCAAACCAAAGCAGAGCTTGCGGCTTTACATTTTCTGTCTGATTTCAGTTTCCCAATATTAGTCATCTTAACCACTTAATGATACTGGGAAATTAAAACCTTTGTCTGGTCCTTCATGGAGGGACAGGGGAGGAAGCAAAGTGGGTTTTTAGCCATCTGAACCAAGCCCTATGTCTGCTGCAGAAAATATACAGAAGACTCTTGTGGCACCTTAAAGACTATCAAATTTTACTTCTCATAAACTTTTTTGGACTTCAGTCCACTTTACCAGTTGCTTGGAGTGTGTCTCTGCTACTGAGAAGTCCACATGCAACGGGAAAGGGAGAAAACCTAGCATTCAGTAAAAATACCAAAAGTTACAGCGTACTAATGATTTCACTGTTAAATCATGAGCTGTTAAATCATAAATCCATGAGTGCTTATACCCAATGAGGTGTCACACAACGTTTTGTTGTAATTAATTGCAGTTGCAGTTCCATAGGGAAAACCTACTTCGTTGCTTCATTCCCGAGTTGTCTTTCTTGGAACTGGAACTGAAACTAGTTACAATAAGACGTCTAATACATTAGCTCTTCCCTCTCCATTGGTCCTTCATCAGCCTCCACAAGTTGCAGGGAAATTATCTGCTAGTTAGTCCGTTGTACTTGCATGGGCTCCCCATACAATTAAGAATGCTGACTGTTGTTATGCAAGATGCATATAAAGGCAGTCCACACACAGACACAGTTTTAGAAGGAGGTAGCAACAGGAGACAGTCCTAGATGATGTAACTATTGTGCTTATCTCTCTCCACTTTCATGCCATTCTAATTGTGTAGGGGGTAAAACACCAAAACAGGGCTGAGCTTCCTATTCAGCCTGTAAGTTATGGTTGTCTCCCACATCCCAGTGTGAATGTGTTATGTGTTGTCAAGTCGATTCTGAGTTATGGTGACATTGGTGTGGTTTCCAAAGTATACATGATATTTAAGGAGTGGTTTTACCAATGCTGCCTTCCAATGAATTTCTATGACTGAGCAGGAATTTGAATCCATGTCTTCTAAGTCCTAGTTCAACATGTCACTGTACACGACACTGGCTCCAAATCCCAGGAAACTCCCTTAAACATTTTCCTCATTGTTCCAAGTTGATTCAAGGAAGTTTCATATTTTCATTCTCTAGTAACTGGTTTCTATTAAGGAAGTGTCACTGAATTCCATGAAACAAGGGAACTTCCTGCCATATTCTCTGTTATGCAAAATGGAGGACATCTCCTTTTTGGCATTATAAGTTTGCAAAAGATAATGAAGTTAGCTATTGAAACACAGTGGCATTATGCTGGCACCTAGTGACTCATTATAAGCATTGCTCTCATTAGAGCGCAACATATTTTTTAAAAAACATACCAAAAAGAAAAAAAATTGACAAAAAGAAAAAAAATGCAGATCTTGAGAAGAACCTATATACAGTACTATTAAAGAAGCAACCTGCAGTTTAGGGGCTGGTCAATCAAAGAGAATTAAAAATGGATATTTAAGGAAAAACAAAGGGTGTACAATGGAAGACGGGTGCCGGAGGCCCAGCAAAAGCAGAATACGCCTTCTTGCTGCCAAGGTACAAATTTGTTACAGATTTCTTGATCTCATTTCCCGAGACACTGGAGATCCAAGCTCTATCATTAGAAGCTGATTTTAAACCATATACATATTTATTTGATATATTTATTTATTATTGGCTGGCTGGATGGCTCAGGAGTTTAGGTATCTGGCTTTGGAGACAGAGACAAAAGCAGAATACGCCTTCTTGCTGCCAAGGTACAAATTTGTTACAGATTTCTTGATCTCATTTCCCGAGACACTGGAGATCCAAGCTCTATCATTAGAAGCTGATTTTAAACCATATACATATTTATTTGATATATTTATTTATTATTGGCTGGCTGGATGGCTCAGGAGTTTAGGTATCTGGCTTTGGAGACATAGATTGAAAGTTCAATTCCCCCACTGTGCTTCCAGGGAGAAGAGCCAGCCTGTGTAACCCAGGGCAAAGTGCACAGTCCCAGAAGGAGGGAATGGTAAACCACTTCTGAGTACACTCTACCTAGGAAACCCTAGAAAGGGTTGCCATAAGTTGGAATCGACTTGACATCATACCATTATTACTATAGTCATCATCATCATTGAAATGTATTGCTTTAAAAAAGAGAGGAAAGATCTGTGCCTTGCAAGTATCTGGCTTGTTCGGATATCTAACGGTGCAACAGCCACCATTGAAGAGGTCCTGGTTTTGGGATTAGATCCGTTGTCCAAAACCTGCTCGTTCTACCCACATACTTCATAGCAGTTTCATCAGGTCAAAAGGGAAATGAATGACAGGGGTTGTAGAGGTGTACCCAAGATGATTTCCAGGTTGAGTGGCAGTCGAAACAGGTTTTAAGAGCTTTTTCGAACCAGTTCTCCACCCCACCTCCTTTTACCACCCCTTTGAAAGAGAGAGAGGTGTCACATTGGAGACAGCTGCCATCTTTCTTATTTTCATGGAAGTGAAGCCGTGCCCATTTCAACAACTTGAGCGCCTATGACAAAATCAATAAAAAACATTTTGGAGTGCTGCCATGTCATAAAGCAGGGTTGGAAGGGGAGGTGATGGGAACCTTGCATTACCAGTAGATTTGTAAACAGACGCGTAATGGATCCTGTATTGGATATGCGTTAGTCTTAAGTGTTTGCTCCAATATCTTTAAATGGGCCTCAGCGACCATAAAGCATGTTGACACATCTCTGCTTTACTCTGCCCTGTTAACCCCTGGCAGTTTTCTGCTCGAAAAGTGGCAGAGCCAAGAATGAACATCTATGGCAAAAAGAGTTACAAGGTCCAGATATTGGGAATTGTTTTAAGATAGAAGGCAGTGTTTCCCAACCCCGGAGTTGTGACACTCCCCCCCAAGGAGGTCATGGGTTGCCTGATTTGTGTTCTAGCCTTTGTTAAATAATTTCTTTCTTGACCTTTTGGAGCCAGATAATTAAAGTTAGCATGCAGGTGTATGTATGAGAAACAGCCCCTTTGGGAGAAAACGAAGCCTCTGCTTTCTGAGAACGGATGACTTTACCCGATTAAAAATACCTTTTAATGCAAACATGGCCATTGGGTCACAGGTAGCTCTGTTATTATAAAAGGTGGTTGCAATTCAAAAAAAGGTTGGGAACCACTGGTCTAAGGCAATTAAAATTAGAGGGTCGTGAAAGCATGAGGGTGTGAATCACAGATTTTCTGTCACGCAGTTTCACAGAACTGTTAAATCTGTGACTGGCCTGCCGCTGCTCAGATTATAAGTGAGAAAGCAAGGGTGTTGCCAACTCAACAGCCCAGCAAGTCCTGGACTGGCTAACCTGTCCCCACAGTTTTGTATCTTCCGGGATCCTATTGGACTTTATGAGTCAACTCCCCGTCCATCAAGGTGCTAAGCTCAACCTTAACCACTCCCCCTTTCCCCTTTTCTTTCCCCCTCAATGGGGAATCTGATGGAAATGGTCTTCATATATAAAGGATGAAAAATTAAATTGATGACTTTTTTTTTCTGATCAAGGATTATTCCCCACATGCAAGCATTCAACCAGAACATTCATTTTATTAAAACATAATGTGGGAGGGTCTGCTCGCACAGACATTAAATTGTGCCACTTCCCTTTGCCCTCAGCAGTCTTGTTTTATATGATATACAGTAGAGGCACAGGTTAGTCACCTTGGCAAGAAAGAGGGAGGAAGAAGGCCAGAGGGATGAAGAAGAGGCAAGCGATTTCTCACAGTGGCCAAGCTGTTCATGATAGCAACAAGGAGGCATCATGATAAGATCATTATAAAGCAGCATGTGTGGATCCTAGATCTAGAATGATCTGAGAAATGGCACTTTGTAATTGAATAGGGACAGAGGTTCACAGTTGTTCTTTCTGTGTGATATTTCTTTCCGTACCGACAGTGGCTTTTCTTTTCTTTTCACAGAGTTCTGCTCAATCGCTTTCAGGAAAAGGTTATTCGGTAAGTCACCTTAACAACTAATTCATCCATTTCATGTCTATTGCTGTTTGATTGTGTAATTTGTATTACCTGCTGCATGTTCAGATATACCAACAGAATGCACATAGCATGAAAAAAAATCAGATTTTGAGGGAAAGGGTTGTAATGTTTCCTCAACCAGCTCTCTGTGTTAAACAGTTGATTTTCTGAGTCGCCTGGTGTTATTTTATGGCTTTGTCTCTCCATTTATTGTGCAAAATTATAGAATGATAAATCAAAAGATCATATCTGAACACCATTGGCTGTGGGAGAACAAATATTATCATCTCTTGTTGCTACATATTACAGATTTCTTCATGTTTCATTGGATGTAGGGTTACAGGTGTATGTTTTACTCACTGTAATACTAAAACTTCTCTAGTTCACAAAGTAAAAAAAGTAAAAGAAGAATGGATCAGTCAGTTGTGCCAGTGTTTACTCTTATGGGTCTTGAACTGACAGCTCTTTTGAAGTATTAACAGCAATATAAACCAAATCAGCAATATCAAAATATAGGTTGGATCATCTATTTAAATGGAACTGTGAACTCTCCTCTGTTTCCCCAGGATTTTATGACCCTTGCTTGCTTGAACAAGTCATCATTTAAAAAAAAAAGGCAGGCAGTTCATAGAAGCACAGAATAAAGGAGTTGAAAGGGACCTATAAGGCCATCAGAGTCAGCCTCCTGCTCATTACAGGAATCCAGATCAAAGCAGATCTGGCAGGTTTTCTCTTGAATGCCTCCAATATTGGAGTGCTCACCATCTCCCCAGGTAATTAGGTCCATTGTCATACTGCTCTAACAGCTGAGAAGTTTGTTTTTTTTTAATATTCAGCCTAAATCTGGTTTCCTGTTACAGGGCTCCCTTTCCAAAGCCACACCAGCCCATCTTTTCAAAATGAGAACTGATAAAGTCACTTCTGGTTTTGCAGAAAGATGCTTGGGGCTTTTTTTTAAGTTTAGGAGAGGGATAATTAAATAGGTCATATATCTGGAAAACCTATTAGGGTTGCCTTAAATTGGATGCAACTTGAAAACCCATAACCGAGGCCTCCATAAGTGATTCTTGCCCAAATTCAGTGCTGGGGAGAATCTGGGAGGCACACAGAAGACCCCTCAAGTTATGTGCAATAACTGGGCTTCACAATTCTCACCCAGCCTGTTTTCTCCCTACTTTGAATGAAAAAAACAACAACCCTTTTTTAGTTTAAATCATGGAACAAATTCTTCCATTATCTTTCTTGCTGCTATCCTAGAGAACAAGGCGGCGGAGGGGGGGGGGAGTCCATGGCTTACTGCTGCTCATTTCTATAATGCTAAACAGACCAGTATCCAGTAAACAATCCTGGATTAGAAAAATTAGTACTTCTCATTTTGACTTTCCCCCAAATCCAGTACCATGCAGTAAAGACAAGTTCTTAAACATTTTTGTAATAACAATAATTGTAGTGATACATGATTGAGCAGCAACATCTTGGTCACCAGATTGCAATATTTAAAGATTTGAGTTCGTTTAGCATTGGTAAAAATACCAGAAATTGCCAATGAGTCTGTATGTGAATGGATAACTTATTTCATCAATAAACAGTGGTGTGGTGATCTGTGACACTGCCTGCTACAGTAGGGGACCTGAAGTACACATCTAGCTACCAAATAGCATCAAACAAGGCCTTTTTATTCTGTCTGCTTTCACTGAAGCTTTAAATTAAGTTCCTTGTCAGTCTAAAGAAAGAAAGAGAAATAGGAGAGAGAAACAAATTTTTAATGACAATTTAGCATTGCTAATTGACAGTGGTTACTATTTCTTTGCATACTGTGTCATTTGAGAAGTCTTAGATTTCTACAATTATGAGTCAAATCGTTTAGATGAACAAAATGTAGAATGCTGCCTGTGATACCTTGGTGTAGAGATGAGCTATTATGCGCTTCCTAATGTAGTGTGCTTTGAACATTTTTAAAGAGATTTTCTAATTTGGTGAAATTGAGTTTATTCCCATCTAATAGGAGTTTTGAAATCATAACATGGGCTGTTTGTCAGGTAAATTCAAGCTTATCTTTCCTACTGAAAACTTGGGGGGGGACCCTGAGCACTGAATGTCAACAAATTAATTGCGCTTGGTTTGTGAATACTTTTAAATGGTTTTTAATCCATTTAAAATGTAAAATACATGCTTTGAGCTTGTAGTAAGATGTGTGGCAGCCCCATACCACACTTTACCTGTGAAGTGTGTGTGTGTGTGTGTGTGTACACACTTTTAACCATCTTGTTTGTTATCGTGCATAACGTAATGATAAGAGTGAAGTTCCATATCTGAAGGGCTGTGTTTGCAAATTAAACTGATTTCCCCCTGGCTCTAGTACCTTAATGGAAAAAAGGCCAAAGGCCCTGCCACTATCCTGCTTCTAATAAATCACAGGGCAGACATTTTTATCTCTTTTTTTTTTCCTGAGGAGTTCCTTTTGATCTGCTGAACAAATGAGTGTGTAGCAATTCAGGGCTGCTTATCTCAAAGCCTTTGGAACCCTGATATGTTTTTGTTTCTTCATTGCTGAGCCTTATAAAGATTTGAGTAACAAGCCATAATTTTCCAAAATGTCTCTGTACAGACCTCCCACTCAGCTGTGAGATAGGCTTTAACTCATCAGGGACAGCAGGGGCACCGTGAGTGGGATATTCTGCTGGTGTTTTCAAACCTTTACAACATTTGCCATATAAGAAATTTCTTAGCCTTCAAGATATTTACCAGAGCACTAAAAGTTTTCTTTTTCCACATAGTGGTTTTGTCTGTCCATTTACTTGGTTTCTTGCTTCCGCCTTCTGCAGCTGCTTTGGAACAAGTTTGTTTTTAAAGGATGGTGATTCTTCGTCCTGTCTATGCAGTTCAAGAAGTCCAGGATCGCAAAGATAACATGATTATACTGTCCCACTTCAGCATAGCCACTGGGCATTTTCAGCTATAACTTGCAAAGGGTGTACAACTTGTAGAAGTTGTAGTCCAGAAATACAAATGCGCACAGCTCTCATGTCTGTTGTCTGGTGTTACAACGCTTCGTGATGTTACCCATCCTCCCATGGCATGTTTTGGAGGTGTGTACGTTTTTGCTAAAAAGTCATGAAGTACTGATGTTTAGCCTGAAGAAGTGAGATTCCTCCATGAAAATTTGCAATCTGATTTTTAGTGGTCCAATAAAAGCTATCACCTACATTTACATTTGTGTAATCTTGAGGTCCACATGGCCTTTTTCTTTTTCATAGATAAGGGCATAGTTTGTGAAAGAATATACTGTTGCAGTTACTAGATAGTTTGTAGCTTTTGTAATGCTTTTGTTTGTAAGAAACAGGGGAAATGGGGAAAATTTCATTGATACATTCAGCTTTTCCCAGTCATGTAAGAGGGATCTTTTGAGTGCAGTAAAGTTAAAGATGAGTCTCTGAACAAATATGATCTCTCACTCACACACACACATGATAGAATTGTGGTCTATCATTTATTTTTCATCACTACCTTGGAAGTAAATTTGCTATTTAAATAATTTATGCATACTGTATAAAGTTGAAGGTCAGAGCAACTACAAAGCTTCTGTGAGAAATCTTTTGGTCTTACGACATGGTAAACACACCTAAAAATGGAACAATAGACCTTTCATTTTGTTCTGTTTGGAACACAGCTATCTCTGGAATGCTTGTGGAATCTGTTGGCAATGTGTTGATCCAAAACTTGGGAACACAATCTGTCTACAACCCTTGTGCAAACAATAGAGTAGGAAAGCAACAGCTGTTTTGCAAGGGGTTCATAGTTCAACTGTGCAAAGAGTATAGATGTGAACATAGCCGGTGTTTATCACTTAAGTAGTTTAGCAGCCCATTCTGCCTCCTTTCCTGTGGAGAACTGGAAAGCCCATACATTCATAGTTGTTAAGAAATTATTCTCCATGACTTTATGTAGGCACGTATGCACATGGACATTAAAAGACCGTTTGTCACTCGCCATGTTCATCAAGCAGAGGTCAGAGTCCTTAACATTTTATGTGCCAAACCCCAAATCTTAGAATCTCTTTCTAAGACTTTCTAGCACAAATTAACTTCGCTTCAATGCCTAAAATCTCTTTAGATCTAAAGCTACGCTTAGTTCAGCAAAAACTGACATTTCGAGTCTGTTGGATATTGCTTTATATATTTATAAAGAAATGGGTCACTTTAGCGAAATGCTAGCAATGCAACACAGATAAGGCTTTATTGAGGCATATGGTGTAGCCCTGTCTTACAGAGACCTTCTGTAATTTGTATTAAAGCAAATTCATTACGTATTTTTAAAAAAATCCTTTACATGTGTGGATATGTATGCACTTTTTAAAGGCACCAAATATCGTGTAGTGCAGTGGTCTCCAAACTTGGGCCTCCAAATGTTCTTGGACTTCAACTCCCAGAAATCCTGGGCAGCAAAGGTGGTGGTGAAGGTTTCTGGGAGTTGTAGTCCAAGAACATCTGGAGGCCCAAGGTTGGGGACCACTGGTGTAATGGATACACTGTTGGGTCGTAAGGACTCTGGAGAATAGGGTTCAAATCCCCACTTGGCCATGGAAACTCACTAGGGGAGTGGATCGGGCAAAATCCCTCCTTAAATATCTCCCTTATCTTGAAAGCTGTATTAAGGTCTCTGTAAGCCAGTTCCAATTTGATTACACATAACTAGCTAACTATGTACTTTTCAACCAAGTTCCTGTGGTTCGGAAGTCAACTGGTGTAGAAGGTGTGTTGTGTCACAGTGGTTAAACTGCAGTAAAGACTCTGCTCATGACCTTAGTTTGATTCCATCGGGCTCAAGTAGCTGTCTCAACACTGACTCAGCCTTTTGTCACCAGCGCTGCAGCTGCGTTGGAATGGGCATCATTGCTCCTGTTGGACAACACAGGTCACAAGGTTGTGTTGGAGATGGGGTAGACTCTTGGAGTCCCTTATCTGCAGAACCTTCCTCTACCCAGTGGGTGGGGTTCAGGGACTTCCTCCTGGGGCTGCTCTTCCCAGTCACTCTCCACTTCAGCCAAGGCACAGAATTGGAGATCTCAAGGCTCAATGGTCTCTCCAGACGTCTCCTCCTGCTCCGAAGTTTCTGTCTCTCCCTCCTGTTTACCTGAAGGAAGCCGCTGAATCCTTCTAGTCTTCCTCCTGTATTTTGGCCTCCATGTCTCCCTCCAATCCACTCCCTTGTAGGCACCTGTTGTCCCTCCCCTTTACCTACTAGGGGCCCTGGAGGCTGGTCTGAGACTGATGGCAACTCTCACACAACCATACACCAACCTTAGAAATGTGTCCATTTTTACAGGGGGGGGGGGAATGGAAATATCAGGAAGCCAGATTTAGGCTGAATATCAGGAAAAACTTCTTAACTGTTAGAGCAGTACAACAATGGAACCAATTATTTTGGGAGGTGGTGAACGCTCCAACGCTGGAGGCATTCATGAGAAAATTGGACAACCCTCTGTCAGATCTACTTTGATCTTCATTTATTAGGAGGTTGGGCTTGGCTTTATAAGCCCCTTCTACCTCCATTATTCTATCTATGATTCTAGAATTTATAAATTATGTCATTCACACCTAGTTACACAATATGAGAATGGCAAATTATGGTCTAGGATATTAATTCAGGGCTTGAGGAGCTGCTGCGCTTAAGATATTAAATTGCGGCTGAAATTCATAAAATGAGGGGAGCACCTTTGGGGACGAGTTGAGATTAAGATTCAACCTAACTCATCACTAAATGTAGTTTGGAAGAGGCAGCCATGTTAGTCTGTGCAAGCATATAAGGCAAAATCCAAAGAAACAAAACAAAATGACTAAAACATGGGGCACCTTAAAGGCTAACCATTATACTTTAATGTATGCTTTTGTGGGCACATCGGCTTAGTCAGACATTAAGAGACATTTCCTTTCATTCTGTCTCTTAATGTCTGACGAAGTGGATGTGTCCACAAAAGCTTACATTAAAATATAATAGTCTTTAAGGTACCCCATGTTTTTGTCTTTTTTGGGGGGGTTCTAGTTTTGTTTTGTTTCTTGGGATTTTGCCTGACATCATCATTAAATGTATCTTCTGGCAACCTGAGATCCCTGTTAAAAACAACAACAAAAACAAGCCAGAACCACTATAGACTTATTTTAACAAAATCGGATTTATCATCGGTTTCCATTGTCTATTTAATCCATCATGTGAGGTGCACATTTAAAGGGTGGTCTATAAAAAATAAGAAATAGACAAAAGAGAAGGAGACAGAAGACAAAAGCCAGGTGAGGGTTTAGGTTAGGTAGGCTGAGCATTAAGTCCCCAACCCTTCAACCGCAGAGGCTGGTTTAGGTTTATTACCTGTCATTAGATACTCCTTTTATCCTTCCTAGACTCTTCAGGGAAGCAGTAAGGGCAAGGGACGTGAAGAAATAAACATATAACAAAAAGGGAGAGGATGAGAATGCCCTCCCCATCTGGGGCCTGGTTCTTGACTGAAGGTTTTTCTGCTTTTATCATATACGGAGAAACAGGCAGGCAATGTTGCTAGTATATGTCTTTCCAAAAAAAGCAAACAAATGCAATCTCAGAAGTTATTTTTATTTTCCTTGTTTCCAATCATATTGTGTTCTGCTTTTAATTCTGACCAAATAGCCTATAAATTTCCACTCACGCCCACACCCATCCACCCACAAACACACCTCACAATCACACACAGAGGCAGAGGGGTCCAGCTCTGAGGCTGCGTGTTGCTGTCATACTGAATACACAACACACACCCTTCTGTTTATAAGGCCTGGGCATAATTGGGTGATGCTGATTTACATAAAGCTACATTATTCCCATTGCAAAAAGCAGGCATCTGACATGATGATCTTCGTGAAGCCCCTCAAGGCATGGATGGCATATGACTTGTATCTGAGTTAGTTTGTTTTTGTTTTCAACCACATCATTTTAATGGGAGGAGGCAGGAAAGGAAAGGGGGAGAAGGGGAATCTCATCTGTAAGCTGTCTTATAAATCGGCAATGGTTAGACAAACATCTCTTGATAAAAGTTCCCAGAATGCTTTGGTCTATATTTTCTATTGAAATAAAGAGCTCCATTCTGAATCCATCTTAAATTCTCTAGCCTGGAAGGATTGGTTTCTTTCATCGTGGGATGGTTTCTGTTGCTTTTATGCCTTTTCTCTGTCCAAAATGTTTTCCAGTGAATCATGGGACAGAAAGGAGGTTTGGTGACCATAACTTTGGTGGTGGTGAGAGACCTTGAGTAGTGATGGCCACATGAAGCTGAATTTTTTGCAGAGAAGGACACTCTGTTCTGGATAGAAGCATGTCTTCAAAATAAGTTGTATTGCACTTAGACCTTAATTGCTTGCTTGTGTGAAGACTAGTAGGTAATTTGCTTGATGAGGTGCTAATGAACTGCAGCTGCCTTTGCTGTTATTTATTAATCTTTTCCACATTAGAACGGTATCCTCTGTCCATGTGCCCTTTGAGTCACGGTGGACAATTGGCGGCTTCAGAAAGACATGGCTCCTGGTTGTCTTTATCCTTCTGAGCCATCACCTTTATACAAATAAGAGTGCTGCTTGTATTACACATGTACGTATGCACACGTGTTGTATATGCACACATGCATATTATTACTACCAAGAAAGAGGGAACAAGATAAATAGAAAGAAGTAAGGGCAATAAGAGCTAGCCTGTCAGAACTGGGGCAGAAAGAGAAGCAAGAAGATTGGCCTCATCAAACAGGGACAAGGCCTTTTGCATTGTGAGGATGCTGTTCCTCTTGTGGTGGCGTGACAATCATACCTTGCCTTTGAGTGTTGCTTTGAATCCTCTCCTGGCTGAATCTTCCTCTCACTCCACTTTGTAATAAAAGGATCGTATCCTTTCTCAGCAAGCCAGCCCTGTGGGTTCCATGTAGCCTTTCAAGCAGATTCAGGTGTGCTTAGCTCAGACTGTGTTTCCCTGTTTATTTCCTGCTGTCTGCAGTCCGTGTGATCAGCAGGAGCTTTGACCGCCAAGGCAAAGGTTCCAAGTAGCCGGTTTCTTTAATACGGTTGACGGCACATAAAGGCAGCGAGAGCCCCATGCGTTTTGCTCACGCTGTGGCACCCTCATTAACCGCAATGAACATGCTGGGAGGCAACTACGGCTTGTTCTTCTTTGCAACAACAAGTTTTGCTTCTTGTTGTTTTAATGTTGATTTCAGTAAGTCTAGAAGGAAAGTGGCAGTGGTCACCTCCACCTTCCGTGCTACAGTTGAAAGGGAAATGGTGCAGCGTGCTCTGTGATAAAACACAAATCAGAAAGATAGCAAGGGCAGAAGAAAAGGTGAGGGGGGCTGATGCTGTCATGGTTATGTACGGTAAAGGTGGTCCGTTTGGACCAGATAGGCAGGGTATAAATCAAATAAATAAATAAAAAAATAAATAAAGGTTAAAACGAGTATCATGGTTTTTCAGTAAACGCACAGGAAAACAGTGGGCTAACCTGGTTTTCCTCAATCTAGATAGCTAGCCTTGCAGATGGAGTGAAGGAGCACTCTGGAGAGGTGCAGGAGATACAGTACTGCATCTGCCTGACAACTCTGGATTACCAGCAAATAATATAAAGGGGGCTAGTGGTAATATCCTAGATGTGGGGTCTGTACCTACTATGGCCTGAAGTGATAGAAGGGAACTGTACTGCTTCAGACTGCAAGTGGGGTTGGGACTGTTCTGAATGCCTCCATGTCTAAGGAGAAGTGGAAGAGTCTCGTGGCGCAGTGGTTAAACTGCTGTACTACAGTCAAAACTGTGCTCATGACCTGGGGTTCAATCCCAGGTAGCCAGCTCAGGGTTGACTGAGCCGTCTATCCTTCCCAGGTCGGTAAAATGAATACCCAGCTTGCTGGGGGGGGCAATGTGTAGCCTGCATCATTAACTTGTAAACCGCCCAGAGAGTGCTTGAAGCACTATGGGGCGGTATATAAGCAACACTCTTTGCCTTGCTTTTGCTTTATCTCTGAGCTTTGGGAGCTTGGGAGCTCATGAGTATGCTCCTGAAACATACATCACGGTTGTTATTTTTTTTCAAAGTAAAAAAGGCTGGAACGAGAGGCATGATCCTGGAAGTGTTATTCGTTCACACACCGTAGGCATGACAGTTATAGGCATAATCCGACACTTTCTTTCTAAGTCATCATGTGATGGATGGATGGTTGGATGAATGGGTGGATTTTATAAAGTGGCTTTCAAGAACATATCCCCTGCTGTTGTGAACTTATGTTTTTTAAATATAGGATTTTTTTTAATAAGTTGGTAATTGCCATATTGTTTAGGTCTGTAGGGGGTAAGTAGGTAGCTAGGTGAGTTGTTTTCAGTCTGTTTCGCCTCCACTACCAGCAGGTAGCGGGTGTCACTAAGTGGGGTGGTGTGCAAGTTAAATAAGTGTACCTATTTCTTCCATCTATTCTAATGTACTCCATTTCAGTGGACAGGGTTTAAGGGAGAGAAGAGGCATTAACATCCCCCCCTACCTGATTCTTCTAAGTCAGTGGTTCCTTTGGTTAACCCAGCTGTTGTTTGACTACAATTCCCAGAAGCCTTCACCACCAGCTGTGGTTTCTAGAAGTTGCAGTTCAAGATCACCTGGTTTACCCAAGGTTGAGAACCACTGATGTAGGGAATGTGATCTTGTTTCCATCAAATTTTTTGCCACTAGAAGCTATTCCAGGAGTAAAAACAATATTGTGAACATCCCTAGTCATAATTATTTTAATTCTGCCATTGTGCCTCAATCAGCTTTGTGCCACAGGGTGAATTATACAAAATACAACTACTTCAGTCTGCACTTCCAGCTGACTAAAACAGGACCCTTTGTTAATGATGATTTTGGAGGGTTTTGTTTATTTATGTATTGTTTATTTGTGATTTTCAGTGTGTTCTTTTTTTAAATTAATTCACCCAATAATATTAACCTTGAAGCTGCTCCCAAAGAATGAATGCCCATGTAGCTATTTTTACCAAATTAACAGGGTTGTTTATCTGCCGAACATTTACATATATGGTAATTGTGACATTTCACTTTGTTTTCATTGCAGCAAAAAAATGTGTTTTTTTTTCTCGTCTCCAAATATTTTAATACATATTATTGCATCAGTGAATAAAAAACAGGAGAAGGAAGTTTAATACTGCGGGACAGTCTCAGGAAAATATTTTTCAACTGGAAAGAAAATAAAACATATTTTCTCTGCTGCAATGACTTTCTACATAGGGTGCACAAGGGGAGCAGCAAAAATGTGGACTTTTCAGTGGTACACTTGAAGCAGGCAGGCCCAGTGATAGGGGAATCCATTCTAGCTTTCAGTTGGAAACAGTCTACCCCAACTTTCAGCTCCCCTGGGCGGGGCTCCGCCTCTCTTGCCCGACTGCTCCTCCATGCGTACGAGACTCCGCCCTCCCACGTGCTGCGTTCCGTTGCAACCACCGCCTAACATGATCACTGTGTGGAGGGGGAAGACAGCTGCGTGGAGGGAGGCAGAGGAGCGCACACACATGTGTGGACCCAGCTTAGAAACTCGGTTGGAAATTTTACAGAATTTATCCAGGGTGCTAAACATCATCTCCAGATAAGTTCGGTGCCTTGAATACCTCATGCAAAATTCAGATTAAAAGCAGATTCACCACCCTTCCCAAGCTGAAGTCAACAGATGCTACTGGCCGTGTATCAGTGTGTCTTTTTAGCTGTCCATTAGGCAGCTTTGCAAAGATTTAACATTTCTCTCTTGGACAATAGGATTGGATAAAGTCATCACTCCATGCACAGACATGGATGGGGGAGTATTAGGATTTACCATCACGACACAAACCATCCCATATTGCACATATTCCCTACCTCCAGTTCTTTAAACACCATCTCTCCCTACTGTTCTCTGCCATCAGCAGTAAAGGGGGAAAAAAACACGATAGAAAATGGTAAGGTAGGTGCAAAACACCCAGATCACGATCTATCAGATGAAGAATTGTCAAAAAAAAAAAAGATTTGATTTACTGACTGGCTATGCTGAGAAAATAAATAAATCGCCACATGAATTGGCCGTAATTGTGAAAGCTGATGTGTAGGTGTGTGGCTCTGGACCGAGCGAGAGACACTCGTGATGACACAGTTTGAGCACGACACCGACATCCTGCAGCAAACCATCGCTGCTCAGAATGAACCGCAGGCTGCCCCACATCACGCTAAGTGCTTTCCTGCCCATTTAAAGGAGTTTCTCTTCCTGCTAACATTTCCCCTCTGAGGTTGCATGTGACCGTGAGAGCACTGAAACAGGAAGTTGTAATTTCAAGCTTCTTTGTTATCAGCATGATATCTGCGGTCAATCCCCTGACACAGCTTGCGGCCAGTTTCTGGTTAGCAAAGAGAAGCCTTTGTGCTGATCTGGCATCGGTTCCCACCTGTTTAAATCAGTTAAGCTCTGCCGTTGAGGAGGGTTTCGGTCCTCCGTGCGGGATTTCCAGTGACAGCAAGACAGTGATGCATCTGAGTAGCTCCAACAGGAATAGTCCAGTTATCAGCTGGTCGCTCCAGAGGCCGATAAAATTTTGTGTGTTCTCTTCTGAGAAAACATCAAAAGAGAGAGAAAAAAACCCAGAAGACATTTGCTTTTAACCTCTCGGTAGTTTTTTTTTTTAAAAAAAGCATGTGAGTTTGAGGATAAAAAACGCTTATCATATTTTCACAAGAGTGGCTTTGTCTGTTATGAGAGCAAAACCATCTAAGAGCCCTGTGGCATCATGCTTGCGATAGAGAGAGATACAGTAGCTGTGTGTGCCTCTTTAAATGGGTCTTTTCTTAGGGTGCAAAGTTTTTGCATACTAAAGTCCTTCTTATAGTCTGCAACATTTGGCTTCTCAGCGGACAAAAGGAACCTGGGAACACTGAGAAGCTTGTGATTTGAGCCTTGCTATCCACAGTGTACTCTCTTAATTTCCAGGTATTCAATAAGCAAAACAAAGCAAAGCAAAGTGTGCTGCTTATATACCACCCCACTCTCTGGATGGTTTACTATTTCATTATGCAGGCGATCACCTTGCCCCCCCCCCCCCCGCCAGCAAGCTGAGCACTCAGTTCACCAACCTTGGAAGGATGGAAGGCGAAGTCAACTTCAAGCCTGAGCCCAACAGGACCGAATTCAGGTCCCGAGCAAAGTCTTGGCTGCGGTACTGCAGTTTAACCCACTATGCCACAAGGATCAAAAATTTTGCCGGTCAGTCTTTCCCTCTCCTTCCTGGAGTCTTCTGGGAAGAAGATACTATCTGCAATTAGGGTTGCCACGTCTTCAAAAGGAGAGAACTGCGAAAAGTGCAAAAGTGGGGGAAGGAAGCAAAAGTATTTGAGGACTCAAAACATCTTTCCTGAGAAGACAGGTGGCCACAATTGAAAATTGATTTACATATTTATCATTGGTCCATTGAATGTGGATAAAGAGAATTTTCTCCCTCTGTTTTTCTCTTCCCATCCCATTTTGCTAAAATGTCTATGTGTGTGTTATCCAAAGAAGCTGATTAGCACAGGTTTCAGGGCAGACAGCTACTATGCCATTGAACAAGCCTTGTACTGGCAATATATAGTTATTATACAATGTAGTCCTATATCCTCGATTCTGGTGTGCCTGCATCAGCTTCCTGTCTGCTTCTATACCAAATTCAAAGTGCTAATACTAACCTATAAGGCTCTTGATGGCTTGGGACTTTGTTACTCATTGGAGTGACTCTCCTTAAGATCATCTTCCTGGGCCACTCATTCTTCCCAGGCATCGCTATTGCGATGGGAGTCCCAAAAAACAACCACGAGGAACCAGATCCTTTTGGTGGGTGTAGCCACAACACTTTGGAATACATTGCTTGTGGATATGCGCCAGGCTCCCTCCCTCTTGAACTTCTGAAAGCATGCTAAAACTGAACTTTTCAGAGAGCCCTTTCAGAACATCCTCCCCCATGATAGAGGACCCATTATATTTAAATTTTATTTCTGTTTGCTGTCACGACGTGGGGTTCTTTTGTTGTTACCATCTGTTTGCTTTTTTTTTAATGGGTGGATGGAGTGTTTTAACTGTCACACCACCCAGAATAGTGGCTCCCCACTAGATGGGTGGTATATAAATGTAATAGCGCCAAAGAATATGTTATTGTTAGAGAAATTCCATTCCTCACTCTGCTACTATAAGGGTTTTGACTCTAAGAGGACCTGGGAAACTGTAGGGTGATGGTAGCAGATGATGTCATCATCTCTGCTAGCCAAGAGTGCCATCAGCAAGATCTGGTTGCAGTATATCATTGAGCTTTCTTTCCCAGTTTCTAAGCACATTTGAAATACAAAGAGTCTTCTCTCCAGGAATGTGTTCAACACAGAGATTAAGAAATCAGTACCTGTGTTTTAGCCCAATTCAGTCCACTCTAGAGAGTTGTCTCACTATATCCAATATCCCTTGACTTGTTAGCTAAAATTCTGTTTCTTAGTTTAAGTTGTGCTAGAGTAGACCTATTGAATTGGTGGAGATTTGGTAAGTCAGCTCCTCCATAAATTTCCTTGATTCAAATGGGCCAACTCTGGTTGTGACTTACTACACTAAGCAATGACGTGACCAATGCGTTCTTACAGCTGCTGGATATATCTCTAATTTTGTTTTAAGGACAATAAGGAACTTTGAGTACAGTGGAGCTTATTTGTTGTATAGGATTGCACCTTTCAGCTCACTGTCTGCCCCATAAACTAGAATAGCTAGAGTTCAGACAGACCTTTGATATCATAATTTGCATTGAGTGAGGGCATTTGTGTTTGATATGCATTTGGAAAACTGCTTGCTAATTCATTTTTCTTGTACCTCCTGGGCTTCTATCTCACAATCTATTGCAAATGTCTCAAACCACAATCTATTATTGATTTACTTCTGAATATTAAGATGTCTTGGCCTGTACAGCTCTGGACTCTCCTGTAGCTTCAGACCTCTTATTATGTGCTTCCGTGAGCCCAGCCAGTCCTTGCAGTCAAAGTGTTTACGGCTCTAAGCCATTTCCTTCCATGGCACGGATAACGTCTGGGATATACAACATGTGTTAATTTAACAAAGCAGCTCTTTGATGCTGCTTTAATTTTTTAACAACAGCTCGGAGGCAATGATGTACAGATTATATAGTGTCAGTTTCCCAATTAAAGTTTTACAGGAAAATACTCTGTTTTTGCTCTAAGCCAGTTTTGAAAGCTTCCTTCCGGCACTTGTGCAAATGAAAAGCACATGGTTACAAAGCATCCATTTGAAACCCTGAAATATTTATTGAGACTTTGCTTGAATACTGAAGCAGGAATCTTTCCTGTAGGCTTGTTGATGCCTTTCATATGCATATATTTTGTAATTAAATGTCTGGAAGCTTCTAGTTTGTTTGGCATTGATGTGGTGGCGTGGTTTTTTTTCCTTGTTTTGTTTTTAATAGTAATAAGGTATTTAACATGCTCGCTGTAGAGCTCCCTTGAAATCTGAACTTGGGTGCATGGGGAGAGAGTGTGTTTGAAGTGCCTCCTGGTGAATACGAAGTTCTCATTAATTATTTAGAAAATTATGATGAGATGAATAATACTTTGCTTGGCAGTAACGTTGCTCAGTCTTACCAATGAGGAGCCAGCTCAGGGTACGTACACTGAGATGTGAGGGATGTGGAGGTGAAAGAACAACAAGAACATGTGTTCGGTTTCAGACTTAATGCCTTCTTGAGTGTAGGGAGAGGACCGTTTTTCCAGAAAAGCCAGCCTCATGAAGGTTGCCATCAGTTCGCCAAGGAAGGTGGGATGTAATTTCAGTAGAAGCATGTCTGCTCTGTGTGGTAAAAGCCCCAGGTTCAATTCCTGGCATCCGTAAGTATGGCTGGGAAATCTGCTGGAAACCTAAGACAGCTGCCGAAAGTCAATGTCGGCCAGGGATGTTGGCAAGTCTTTAAGTCTGAGTCCCACGTCTGTGTCCAAGTCTTTCATATCAAGTCCCAAGTCTGAGTCTTTCATACCAGGTCCCAAGCCTTAAGTCCAACTCACTATTAAAAATAAGCTTTTTTTTCCTAGGAAAAAAAGGGAGGGGTGAGTAGGTTCCAAGTCGCAAGTTCAGTCTGAGTCATTGGGAAAAAAAAGGGAGGGGTGAGTGGGTTCCGAGTCGCAAGTTCAGTCTGAGTCATTGGAAAAAAAAAAACACTTCCGAGTCTGAGTCGAGGCACTGGTGCGAATTAAGTTCAACTTGACAGCGAGTCCCATGACTTGAATCCCCATCCCTGATATCATGCACTGGATGGACTCAATATAAGGCTGGTTAGACTTATACAAGACTGAAAGAAGTATGGGCTTGGAGAAATGGTGTCAGAGAAAGACAGAAAGAGAAGACCTTAAGGACTGCCATCCTGAGATCTGAGGTCTCTTCCCCCCACCCCACCCCTGGGAGAATTTTGTAAACAGAAGGCCAACCTTTCAAAGAGCTGAAGACTGCAGGCTTGATTGTTTATCTCTCCCTTTCATTATTGATGAAACGGGAAGAGTTTGAACATTCAGACACTTCACAAAGACCTGATCTGTGTTTCCTCCATTGTCTTTCCTTTTAAAACCAGAAGAATGGCCCTTTCTGCATTTGCCTTGGCCAGAAGCACTCTCTCTGCATGTCCTCCAACTTTGTTCCGCTGCTCCTCTTTCTTTATAAAGCTGTTGAAAAGGGTGGATTTCTTGCCTCCTTGACCGTTCATCTCATCTGATCCACTTCTCCCTCTTTTTTTTCTCCTTCTTCACTTTGTTTTTTTGAGCAAAGGCTAAATCCAGCCAGGTCATGATCTTGGAACTTGGCCTCTTCATAATCCTACTCCAAGGTCATTGCCCTTTGCATATGAGGTGGGGGGGGCACACTTCCCACTACACTGCATGTAATAGACCCTTCCTACATTGTTTGTTTATTTTTAAGAAGAGATGGAGGGACTCTAGGAAATTGAGGGTCAGATTCTGGAAGTGCCTTCATGGCTACACACCCACACGTTATATATGTATCTCTATGTTAACCTCAGCAGAGCTGGTAGCAGAGTTTAGCATCACTTGCAAAGGCTTATGACCCAGCAAATGTTGATCTGTTCTCAACCGTAAGCAATGGAACATTTTTATTTCTTCTCCTTCAAATTTCTTTGAGTTATTGAGACCTTAATGAGAAAATGAGAAAGGGGTGGACTATCTGGGGAACTTGAAGCTATTATCCCCTGTGAATCTCTGTACTTCTGTTGCATATTAAAAGAAATTTTACCAGAAATTCAGAACTTTGCAATATAACTAGGACAAGATCCAGGACACTGAAATTGAGAAGGTGGAAAAAATTTTGTTGTCAGAGGGATGTGAACCCACTTGTTGATACTTGCTTCTGGAAGAGTATGAACCCACCTCCAGCTTCCTCTTGTCAGGCAGAAGGAAACATAGAACAGGTGGTTCAGCATGGTGCGAATCTGTCCGTCCTGCTTTCAGACAGAGACACCCCTTCCCCTTCTTTCATCTTCTCCCTGTTTAATGTGAACCAACATTAACCAATTGTCCAGTAAAGCCCCGGTGCCAGATTTTCTACCCATTGGCTCTGCAGAAGGCAAAAGAGAGCAAGTGAATAGACTTTGCTTCACCCGAAGTGGCAACGACAGAAAGGATATGGAGAGACCTGTTTAGATCCTCTTGTCACATAAAACAAGGTGCTGCTCCCCTGGGATTTCTAGTCCCCGTAAGCTCTGCTTACGAATAAATGGCCTTAAAAGAGAGATCTGTGCTTTTGGCTTCCACCCACTGACATCTTGAACACGATGGAAGCCACCAACCTTTTCTGCTGCCAATGTGCTGAAAGGGCCATCTGCCTCCTTTCCAGACTGACATGCTGTTCCATCTCGTCAGCAGTGTTTTCCGTGGGTTCTGCCACCAGCCTTGTCGAGCGGTGTGTCGACTCATCGCCGTGCGTTCTGCCATTCTGCTGGCACCCTTGCGGAGTCTGCTTCTGTTGCTGTGTTCTCTGAGCAAGCAGCAACTGTTGTCAGTGCATGTGTGTGTGTTTGTCAAATATTTTGCTTTGAATATATATAGCTTTGCCAGACATGGCAAAGACAGACTTGCTTTCCCTGTTTCCCTGATAGAAATCTAAAGTTAAGGCAGTGTTTCAAATGTGGGGTGATGCACACCCATTGTAAGAGTGAAGATTTGGTGAGAGGTACATTATCAGCTTATACCAAAAAAATAAAAAAATAAAAAAATCTGGTGAGCATCATTTCTAACAACAGACAGCT